CCCATCCCAAATGGTCTCTCCCGATCTCTAAGCATTGCACCCCCCCTCTCCCACACACACAACCCTCTCCGAGCATCTACCACCCTTTTCCAAAGGAAATCTTCCCAACTCAAATTTTCCTTGAAGCACCATGTTCATTTCTATTAAAGATCTCACACCTCTCCCCTTCCAAAAGTAACTTTATCTCGTTCTCACTTTACCAAGTGGTACCTCCTTCTTCCCTCATCATCACCCCAAAGCAAACAACTCTGGATAGTTTCAAGCCTCTTTGCCACCTTCACTAGAACAGTTAGGACTGACAAGTAATAAATAGGAATGTTTGATAGAATGCTTTAATAAGAGTGAGTCTCCCCCCTTTAAATAAAAAATTTCGTTTCCAACCAACCAATCTTTTCTCAAACATATCAACAACTGGTTCCCATAGACCACCATCCTTATATTTTGAACCCAAAGGAATGGCAAGATATCTTATGGACAATTTTACTGATTTACAACCCAGTACTCCAACTAGCATGTCATCATCCCTACTGTCTCCGAAAACCACCATCTTGGATTTAGAGAGATTAATGTTCAGCCTTGAGACCACCTGGAAGCATAACAGAACACATCTTAAATTTAATAGCATCCCCATTTCTGGTTATCTGAAGATTAGTGTCATCGGTAAAAAAAAAGATGTGATATTTCAACCTGGTTATTGTTTCTCTCAATACGAATACCTCTCTACAAGCCTACCTCCTTTGCCTTCTCCAGCAACTTATACAGAGTTTCCATAAAGATAATGAACAATAAAGGAAAAAGTGAGTCTCCTTGCTTAGACCCTAGGCTGACTTGAAAAAGGAGAATGATCTCCCATTCATCATCATAACAAAAGAGGGAGTATTAATGCACATATAGCATCCATTTCTTCCATTTATGCCCAAATCCAAGTCTACCCAATATAGTTAACAAAGTCTCAACAAATATAATCGGTTGCTTTTTTTGTATCGAGCTTATGCAGAACCCCTTCCCTCTTGTTATCAACCACTTAAGTAGCCACCATAACAGATTCCAATATCTGTCTCCTTTCCATAAAAGTATGTTAACTCTTTCAAATAACCTAACCTAATATCTTGATCATTTTCTTAGTCAAAACTTTTAAGATCAACTTATAAATGCAACCCACTAAGCTGATAGATCTAAATTTCTTTTTATTTTTTGCTCATTCAACTTTTGCAATAGTTACTATGAAAGTGGAGTTTACTGATTTTACAAAAGTTGTCTTATGAAATTTATTAAATACACAAGTCTTTTGTAATAATAGACTAAAAATCTTGAAGAAATCTCATATTAAATTCGTTAGGCCCCAAAACTCTCTCTCCCTTGCACTCCCAGAGACCCTTTAATATCTTATCTTCTAAAAACTCCTTCTCAATATTAATCTTGTTAGCTTCATCTAATTTTTGGAAGTAAATTCCATCAACCTTCGGTTTTCTCCTGAATTCCTTTACATATAACTTTTGAAAGTACATTTTTACTTCTTCCATTAGTCTTTCATTGCCCTATATGCTTCTCTCTTTTAGGCAGGTACATACACAAATCATGTAATTATTGGTTACAGCAGTCCGTCATCAGGTAATCCAGAACAGAACATGCATCTTCACTATGTCTGAAAAGACTTTCATCCACTTTAGGTAGGGTTCATCCACCGCTGAATTTCAGTCCTACTAGTATTACGTATATTAAAAGTTTTTGTTTGAGAAGTTCTTTTTACTTTTTACTTGTTTATATAATTGTTTTATGTCTTTAATTTTATTTACGTTTTACATTTCCTATCAAATTGTTCATATTCTCAATGACTTATGACACTACTTTAATTAGACACACCCTCATATATTTCTTTGCCAATTACATATTCTATTCCATCACTTACCACCTTTTCATTTTCAATGAATTTCATATTAACTCAGCTTTGTTTTGTGTTGTTAATTTACAAGTGTATGTCTTAAATATCCTATTTAATTTATTATAATTTATATATTTATTTTGATTTATTTTATATGTTCATTTGCATTATAATTTTATTTTAAAATTTATAGATTTAATGTAAATTTATTTTATTTTTTGCTTTATTTTATTTTGTGATTTTATTACTTTTTTTTTTATTTATAGTTTTATTCAATTTAATCTCATCTTCATCATGTTTTACTATTTCTTTAATTTTCTAGTCTACTCAAAACACATCCAAAATTATCATCATCATAATCATTATCGTTACTTCGATCAATCAATACAACATGCCAAATTTGGCCACGCATCACACATCAAAAATTTCACTTTTACCCTTTTTGTTTTATTTATCGTAATTAACTTATTAATTATCATTTTCTAATTTCGTAATTTCATTGAGAACTCTTTTAAGCATTTGATTTTAAGGGCGTTTTGTTTTAAAAAATTTATTGGTATATTCTTTTAACAATTAGAAACATTCAACTAGCATGTAATAAGTCTTGATAATTATTATGGCATTAAGTTTAGAATTTGTACTTCATCAACTAAGTTAGGCTTTTGAGATAATTGCTTTTCAAATATATTTTTGTATATTTTCTTATCAAACCGATTTTTGTATTATTCCAAAAAAGTATAATGTATTTCAATATTATATGAGTTAAAATCATTGACTTACACTATTGATACATTAATGTTAACTGTTGTTTCTTTAATGTCTTTTTTTATGGATAAGTCAAGATTAATCCTTAAATTATCGAGCGAAAACATTGAGTATTGCTCGAATATAGACTTGAGCCTAGACATGCACAACTACATATAGAATCTAACGGTACATTGGATGGATAACTGAAAATTAGATAACTATATCTGTGTAATTACTATAATTTTTCGGGAAAAATTTAATCTGTAAGAATTTTATCTTCTTGTTACTTACTCGTTTTCTTTGTTTGCATAACACGAAGATAATAGTTGAATGTATAGATCAGTAGATGCACTTGAATTTTGATGTGGAGAAAATGATGATTAGGTTTGATTGATATTGCATCAATTTTAGTGGAACATGACCATTTAAGACTATTTAGGGTTAATCATAAAAGAAATGTTCGATGAATATTGTTTCGTCTTTTTCCTTTTTTTAGTTATTTTTTCTCGTGCACTTTGAGTTATATAATATGATTTTGAAAGAAGAAAATTGTTATAGGGTTCAACTATGCTTATTTTTACTTTATCTTTTGTTTATTTATAATTTTTTTAAATATAAATGGATTTATTTGCCTTGTTAGAATTTTAATTATGTTAATGTTTAATAGAATTTTTAATAGAAGTAATTTAAAATTATTCTTTTAATCTAAACCAACCTATTATATATATGATTCATCATGCCAACAAACTTATGAATAATTTATTTTGTGTATATATGCACACATATATGTTTATTTTATTTTTAATTATTATTAACATTTTAATATAAAATTTACGAATACGTCGAGAAAAATTTTTATTTGAATGAGAATCTAATTTTTTAAAATTTATGTAAAAATTACTACGATATAAAAAATTTAATTTTTATTATTTGTTTATTTGTTATATTTTGTTAACACATATAATATTTATTATTCAGTCTTTATGTAAATATCTACCTAATTATCTTATTTTATGTAATTTTAGTTTAACGTATAAATTAATATGAATATAAAAAAATATATAAATTAACATGCATGTTGTATACTAATATTTATTTATTATTTAATTATTAATTAAATATTATTTAATGTAAAATAAAAAAGTTCAAAATGTTTCAAATTTTCAGAAAATAATTAAAAAACTGAGCCATTAATCTAATACAATAAGATGAGTTAATGTAAGATTAAACATGTAATTTTTAAAATATATAGAATTATGTATCAAATTGATTATTATTTAAAAAAATAAAAAAATATAGCAAGGAATTATATTAAAATAAATTATTATTAAAAATATTTATATTGTTATTATATTTTATTAGGAATAATAAAATATATAAATTAAAATTAAAAAATAAATTATTATTATTTTTAAAAAATTTGAAATTATTATTTTTTCTTTTATGAAATGGTTTGAAATCCAAAAAAAAAAATAGGAGCCAATGTGGCGCGTTTTCTTACTCCCATTCTCCACTTAAAACCTGACTGAACGCCTACTTGCCCAGGACTTCTCAGTTCCTTGCTATACACGTCGTTTCCTTCTCTTTCGCCCTTTTGCGTCACTTTCTCGGGAAAACAACCCCGAAAATTCTAAAAGATCCCGAACCGTACCAACCATGGACAGCGACAAACTCAACTCTATCCTTGCGGCGCATAGGCGTGAGGTTCTGGCGGCGAAAGCCCTAAACTCTGATCTTGATTTTGCGTTTAACCTCCAAATGCAGGAAGCCATAACCGCCTCGCTCGCTCTCAAACCCTCCGCATCTCCTCCGCGAAACAAGGTTATATCGGAAGATGACGCCGATTTTGACTGCATTGCGCTCATGCTGGAAGATATCGAGCGAGTCCATCAGGAACTCAGAGACCGGGAGGAAACCGAGAGAGAAACGCGAAAGATGAAGGAAGATCTCAACCGTAGAATCCACGATCAGAAGTTCGCAAACGAGATTAAGAGTATTTCCGATGACTGGTGGCGAGAATATGGTGACAACTATCACAAGCCGTACCGTTCTGGGTCTTCTTCTTCTACGTCTTCGTCTTCAGGTATGATGATAGGGAAAGGGAAAGAGAGCTTTCGGTTGTATTTCAAAGGTTTGGTCGGTGAAGAGAGGGTTAGAAATATTAGAGTGATGGTGGCGAGTGTTGGAGTTGCCATTTGCGACCCGAAAGATAACTTGATATGGGAGGTGAAGAAGGGTTTGGATTTGGAAGGTGGGAAGGTCATGAGTGTTCAAATGGCGGAGATTGAAGCTTTGGTTCAAGGGCTTGATGCAGCTTTGAGTTTGGATTTGAAAAGTGTCAACATTCTCTGTGGTGACTATATGGTATACCAATACGTACGTAGTTCTCTCTTTACTCCTTTACTTTTTCTCTTAACTGTGTTTTTTTAAATTAATATTCTCTGATAATGACCTTTTTGTTTTGGTTGATGGAATGAATTCAGGTGATTCCTTTGTGGATATTATTCGGATATTAAATTTGCTTCATATAAGGTTACGGGAACATAGTATTTGTTTATGGCAACTGTTATGTAAGGTGTATTTGGAAGAAATTAATGATTATGTGAATGTTTAGTAAGATTTCTAAATGAATTCTACAGAATTTTCCGAGCATCCATAAAACTTGAATTGATGGCGTTTTTGTTTCTTAGGAATTTGGTAAACTGTTTAATAAATTTACCTTTCTTTTAGTCAAGTTATTTTCTGATTAGCATTGAAATCTCTTGTTCAAATTACAATTGAATGGTATTATATCAAACTCTAAGCTGTTTGGGTCAAAAGAGGTAGCTGCAACGTCACTTGGAGGTCTGCTAATTCAATATTTTTTATTTGCCATTTTAATTTCTGAGATAGTCTGTTGTCTTCAGACCTGGGACATTCGGATTGTGATCTATTCTTGTAGAATGCTGTTCTTTGCTTGCTGAGGCTATGCTTGAAGCAAATAAACTATAATGAAAATAATATTAGAAGATGGTGAAAATTGGCCTTGTAATCAATTCCCTGTGGAAATGAAAATAATCCAAATGTTCTGTTTTTCTTTTTTTTTTAATAAAGGAATAAATATTGTTTAGAAAAAGAAAATAATATAAACGAGAATTGTGCATTGTCTTATATTTTATAAATTATTTTACTTTGGCAAAGCTCAAATTCATTGGCTGACAGTTTTTGCTGAGTTCTTGTTTGTGAATTCAGAATGATTGTCGAATTTATGTCCAGTTCAATTTGTATTTCTCTATGTTCATGTTTTTAGCGGTTAAAATTTTGGGGGAGTCACATTTTTATAATTTCAGGTTACAGGAAGAGTGGAACCAAGAGAGAGGAGCATTGCTACATTAGTGAATCAGGTGGCTCTTCTTCAAAAGAAATTCATATATTGCGAGCCATCTCTTGTCCCACTTAGTGATATTAAGTTTGCGTTCAAATTTGCAAGAGATGCTATAGTTTCTCAGATTGCATGGCCTGTGGAAACTAGTAAAGGCAAGAGTTTGAAGGAGACTTGTGTAATCTGTTTTGAAGATATTGATGTTGAAAAGATGTTTCTCGTTGATGGCTGCTATCATAGGTATTGCTTTTCTTGTATGAAACAGCATGTAGAAGTGAAATTACTAAATGGGATAGTGGTCACTTGTCCTCATGAAGAGTGTAAAACAGAGATAAATATTGCTACTTGTGGAAATTTCTTGGATCCAAAATTAGTTGAGATCATGAGCCAGCGCAGGAAGGAAGCTTCTATTACTGCAACTGAGAAAGTTTATTGCCCATATCCTAGGTGTTCAGCATTAATGTCAAAAACTGAGGTGCTAAGGCATACTAATCTTTTTCGTGTTGGTGCTGAGCATTCTGGAGAAAGAAAATGCATGAAATGTGGTTTCTTTTTCTGCATTAACTGCAAGGCTCCTTGGCATGACAACATGACCTGCAATGATTACAGTAGATCAAATTCTCATAAAAGAACTGGAGATGCAATGTTGAAGTCTCTTGCAAAACAGAAACTATGGCGCCAGTGTGTGAAGTGCAGTCATATGGTTGAACTATCCGAAGGTTGCTACCACATCACTTGCAGGTATATTGACCGATACTGTGATTAGTCTTTATTGTTTACAAAAGAAAACAAATGGTTATTTAATGTTATTAGAAAGCTACTAATGATAAAACGAGTCAATATTTCATCACTGAGATGGGAAAAGTGAGAATTCATGTAGAAGTTTTGCTTACTGTTTCTCATGGCAGCAAACAAGTTTGTTGTAGCTATTCCTTTCTTCTAGGTGCTTGGACTGGTTGTTTTTATTGCTAGTGTTAGATTCTTCTGTTATGCATTTTCAATTGTAGTGTATGTCAGACTGTTCTTTTTCCCCAATAACATGGAAATTGAATCCCTTTATTTAAAAAAAAAACATGGAAATTGAATCCCGAAGTGAAAGCTCGATAAAGCAGCACTACTAGGAGATTCTGTATATTTTCAACTTGTTATTGCTAATTGTGATTTTTTTGTTGGGGAAGATGTGGATACGAGTTCTGCTATACTT